TAGATAGATAGATAGATAGATAGTGTCCAACCATCAGCGGATGCTGGAACAGGCCAGGCAGCTGAGAGTGGAGAACGAGTGAGAGGAGGCTCTGACACACCAGAGGCAAGAACCCCCCCCCATGTTTACGTTTGTCTTTACTTAATATTTTGCCGTAATTTCACCTATGTCTTTTCTCTTAACTTTTGGGTAAATGTATCACCATAGAAGCTAGGAAACTTGTAATATTTTCCTTCACCTTCTACCTCTCTTTGGGGTTGCTGGGGCAGCAAGGGCCAATCCCAGTATTCATCAGGCAACGTCAGGGTGCACTCTGTACAGTTCACTCATCGTTCACAGTGTCTCATATAGAGACAAACAACCATTCACACTCACATTTATACCTATGCTGAATCAGAGTGTTCATTAACATGCAAACTCCATGCAAAAAGACCATCAGTTCACAAACCACTTCCACTATGTGCCTATATTTGACATTTTTACATATTCGAATTTCGTTCAGACTGAAGAAGTTCTAGACAACATCTTTGGCCTGGCTAGCTTAAGATTAGACTGATGTTTAGTCGTTTTTAGCTAAACTTAATAGACATAAAATATGGAAAACACATTTTATTTTATATATATTTATAATTGTTCAATCACAAAAGTCTACACTTCAGCAGCAGTATGGCAACCTCTCCTGTGTTTTGACTAAATCCTGAAGCCCTATGAAAAAAACACAGCAGGACAAACAATATTTAGACATGCAGGTTTAGATTTAATTAGGTGAGTCTTTTGTTTGGTGTTTGGTAATCTATTTTTGATACTAATTATATTATTTCCTTTGTGTGTAGCTGTTCCAGGCGGAACAGAGGCTGCAGAGATTGAAGCAGCAGCTGAAGGACCTGTAGCAGTGGGCAGCTGATGCCAACCCAGAGAGTGAGTATTTCCTGTGCTGCTGCTTGTTACAGGGACACAGGAGAGAATTTAGGGTTTTTTTTTTCTCTCTCCCTCTCTGTTTAGTTTTTTTAGCTAACATTATTTATCTCAAGTTAAATATAGGTATTTTTCTTGCTTTTTTGTTTAAATATAATTTGTGAAAAATATTTTTGCTAAGTTTAAAAGTTAAATTGATTATTGTTTGGATTTCTATCACCTATTCTATTACATTTAAATCTCTGTTACCTGTCAGGCTTAATAAAGCAACTGGAGATGGATATCAAGATCAACTTCTACATGGTCTCTGAGAAACTGCCTAAAGAGCTGGAGGCAATGAGAAGCTCTGTGTAGTTCCTTCAGAAGGTGGGTAGAACCTGCCATGGGCCAGGCTGATCTGCAGGAGCTGGGGGACAAGGTTAGAACCGATGTATGTTTTTGCAGTGTGGCTCAAACACTGACGTCTTTGTCTCTGTGTGATTGGATATTTTCCCCTTCCACAGATCAGAGCGGTTGACTCTCAGATAAACCAGCTTATAGAGAAGAGGATGATGAGAAATGACCCCATGATGACCCTCTATAGGCAACAGG